TTGGAGTAATTAACTAGATGCATACATGTGCATTTTTGAAAATTTGAATATAACAATTCAAGCCATATTTAATGGTAATACATATGAAAATGAAAACTTTGAATCAATTAAATAATTGATGTATGCAAAGTGTTTGACACAAGAAAAATGTGAATTTTGTCACTTTTCTATGAAAAAAATGACTTTTCTAAAAAAAATAAATCACAGTATCTCAAGGCCTTTTATCAATTTAGGACGTAATTAATACTTCTTTAAAATGTTTAATTAATTTAAGGGGTATTAATCAAAACACTATAAAAAATGGTATAGGGCATAATTTCCTCTTATTTCATTCTCTTTTTTTCTATATGGCAACAACGGTTAGAAAACATCGGTGAAGTCTTATTGGCATTAAGAATCTTGCAACCATTTTATCCCATTAGTGATTAAACCAAGGCATTTTGCTAGGTTCAATTTTATTTATTTATTTTTTATTTTTACTATTTGTTTTGGTTTGATATTGATTTTAATTTGCATACAAAAAAATTAGTCAATGTCGATGGATACAAATAATTTGTCAATTTGTCACTTGATTGCTAATTTGTCACTAAATTTCGTGATTTTGAGGGTGGAAATCCGTCTCTAAGTCACTAAATTTTGTGATTCTACCTTTAGTGAAGGATTTTTTAGGGAAGAAATTCGTCACTAAAAATTATCAGTGATTGTAAAACTTTTAGTTGTGGAATTGTTCATTGTTAGAAGCCCCTTTTCCAGTGGTGTGAACCAAGGGTCTGTAGCCTGGTTTGGACACAATTATTTTTCCACCAACTTTCATGGATAGCAAGTTTGGTCCCTAAGTTCTTCGCCCTAAGAAGCTGCCTTCTTATTCTTAGGTTAGTAAAACCCGAAACAACAAGCGCGCACGCACACATTTATGGATAAGATGTTAGACAATACTTGCATACGATTGCATTATTAGTGCACTTTCGATAATATAGGTTGTTCGTCTAACTGTTGTCGATTATATCGTGTCGTATGAAAAGAGGAGTTCTCTCGATGATGACAAATGTGAAATTATGCTAAGAGGCTATTGCTGTAGCAATTTTTTGATAACAAATATCTGAAATCTTTAATAACACGACTTGAGGAGGTACACATTAAAGCCATTTGCGTTTATATTTCGAGTTTTGTAAATGCGAATTTGTTAAATAAAAAACAGAAAACTGTGAAAATAAAAAGAAAAGAAAGAGGATATCATCGGCAATAAAACATAAAATTATGGGCATATTTGGAATTTAACATGGCTCACTCAGTCTTCTCTCGTGTTGACTTGCGTACAATGACTGGGAGCCGAGTCTTTTACCCCCACACTGATCTGAGTTCTCGTTGATATCAATCTATAAAATTTCTAGGGTTTCAATAGAATCAATTATCATAAATTTACCTACCTGATTTTGATACAATTTTCGTTCCCAGAAATGGCCAGAAATTCTGGCTTGTTGCTTCTAGCTTCGGTGTTATTAGCATCAATTGTATCGATCTGCGATTCAGCAGCCATCTTTACTCCGATATCTGACTCACATCGATCTGCTGCATTGGAACTCTTCTCTCCCTCCGATGGATCGTTTGGAAGGTCAATTTTAAACCCTCCCAAAACCCCATTGTCTCTTAATTTGTGTTATATGCATATAAATCCTCTTTGTATTTGTTTTTATGTTCTCTTGTTGTTTTAATTATCTATTGAGCCTATTCTGGGTCATGTTTGCTGGATTGGGCAGTTTGATGTCTTTTCTTTTCATGATCCGAAGAACACATGGTGTTTCGTGTAATTGATTAGTTTGGTTGTTGATAGAAATGGGAGAAAAAACTAAACTTTGGACGAAATTGTGATCTTTACTCCATGTGAAATCCAAATATCAATTTAAACATGATTACTCTAGATGGTAATATGGTAATATAATTACTAGATGTCTAGATGGTAGTATAATTACTTGGAAACAGGACTTGCTTCTTGTCATTATTGTTTTAAGATTGAAGATGAATGGATCTTTCTTGTTTTTCTGATTGGAAATGTACATGAATTATGAAGTTGATACCATCCCTGTCTTCCCCGTTGCATGCAGCATGACAATTTTGGATTTCCCATTTTTTGTTAAAGGGGTGAAACCTGAAAGTTTCTTTTTCAAGATGGTTGAATGTCTCACTTGATTTACTCCCTTTCAGCTTGGAAGATACATATGAGGCTTTAAGAACATTTGAGGTTCTTGGAATTGAAAAAGAGCCTCTCACAAGGACTTCAGTTTGTGCATCCGTAGCTGACACCCTTTCGTCCACCTCATCATCTTTAAAGGATTTGTTCCAGGCGTTAAGAGTTAATGGGATACTGAAATGCGAGCTAAATGACAAGGCTTTTGTGGTATGATTAAGCCATTTGTTTTGCTGCTTTTAGTTTAAAAATCAATCTCTTCTGTTAAATAATGCATTGATGCACATTTATACTTTTCGCCAGGAAATTGTGTCTAGACTTAAAGATTCTGTAAATTCTGCAAATTCGCTTCTTGATTTCTACCACTCCATTGGAGGATTAATGCTTATCAAGGTAAAACAATTTGCTCATTATGCTCTTTGAAACTGAATCTTCTTTACTACTAGGGTTGGGCTGTATTTAAAGCAACCCCAAAATTTGAAACGTTCTGGGCTATGGAAGAAACATGCCCAAAAAGTTGAGGGTGGTAAAAATGGCCCAAAAGGGTTAGGATTAGGGAGGTCATACCTCGATACCTGAGGCATGCACCTCAGTGAGCCAGGTTATATGCCTTGACATGGCATTCAATGTGTTAATTAGTTGAAGCTTTGCGTGAGATGCAGCTCAATGAGTGAACCTCAGATGCTTTTGGAAACACTGCGCACAATTTTCTTTTCTCATTATTTTGTTTGTGCAGGATCAGGCTTCAGAAGTAGATGTGCATCTTGGGGATGCTGATAGAATTTTTCGTTCTATAAAGGTGTGTTCTAGACGCTTTGCATGTTTCTTATAACTTAAATTTCGTTTATACATTTTATGCTCACTAAAAGATTTTCTGTATTTAAAATATTGTGAATGACTTAGTGATACTGGATTTGTGGCAGGCTCTCAGCCAAAGTGATGGAAGGTGGCGTTACAGTTCCAACAACCCTGAGTCTAGTACTTACGCTGCTGGTACATACTTGTTATGATGATCAGTATTTTTTGTAGATACTCTTAATTTCTTCATTTGGCTGAACTTTTTTTTTTTGTGCTGGAAGTGAATTGTTTATTACTTACGGTGGTTTATTTCCTTCTAAATGCCGATAACTTGCTATGGTTTAATAGGTATGGCACTTGAGACCCTGGCTGGAGTTGTTTCATTGGCATCTTCTGAGATCGATCATTCTCTAGTAAGTATTATGTTTCTTACTTTCTTCTCTCATAAGAGCTTAGCGTATTTAAGGAAACTGGTATGGTTAACTTTTTGCCTGCAATTGTAAATATAGAGAGAGCCAGTTATGCCCAAATGATTGGTTTAGTATTCCAATCAGTTCTTGTGATAGATCCATTTTCTTATTGAGATGTCACTCATTTATATTGGAATTGTTTACCTTTATTTGGGTGTAGAGGATTCTGTTCATGGATGTTGCCACGTATCTTTTAATGTTTATCGTGGCATTAATCAAAAACCATTCTCTGCATTGTGACTGGGCTATTTTTCCTTTTTCCTATGATTTCTCTCCCATTACATTACACTCAAACATTTGCATGTCCCTTTATCTCAGAACATTTGATGGCTAATATGTGTGAAGTTATCATTGGTATTCTGATCTTAGTCTGATTTCTATGCCAGGTTGCTACTCTGAAAAATGACATAATGAAGCTTCTTGATGGTGTTGAGAGATACGGTACATTTCTATTTTTCTTTTTTTGATAAATACATGTTTCTTTTACTTTTCTCTTATCAATTCTTTGATTCTGATGTTTATGTTAGCACTGCTGCGGTTTCTGATTTTTTCCACTTGCTACTTTTAATAGTTTATCTTTAAAATATCTACAGTAAAAAAGAACAAATGTCTTCATTATGGCTGAGATCTGGCTTTTACCTTCAGAATTTCTATATAATTTTATCTTAGACAGATACTCTAAAATGTAATGCAACTGAAAATTTTAGCCCTATCAGGTTTCTATAATGCGGTTAAAATAAACTTAGTTCACATTAGCTGTTTAAGGAAGCAAGCATATTTTGGTTCTTAGCTACTGAATGTTTGAAACTCTCAACTGTGCTCATTCTGGAGTCCTTAGTTTTTGATATTTTATCAAATTTCAGATTTTGCAAGTTTCAGTTCTAATTAATGTCATAAAGTGAGACATAATTAGGCAAAGTCATACCCTTCACAGTTTTGCTTGGGAAGTAATTGGTAGCTGTTGTAGTCTATAGTTAGCCCATTGGTTCTAAAGACTCTAAATCATAGTTAAAGTACGAAGTTTTGGCATCTATGAAGTAGGGAACTTTGTGACTATCAAACCTTCTTGCATATTTATTCTAGAACAACATTGTCAACAGACAACAGGCTTGTAGCTTCTTTTGTCGTAACTGAGGTGTTAACTCAATGTAATAAATTGAATTATTATAGTTCCTTTCTTTCAGAATGTGACTTTGATGTTATACTTTTAGATGATGGCGCTTGTTACTTTGATGACAAATTTGTTGATGCACATGGGCACCAAGATCCTCTTTCAGCTTCCTCATCGGTAGTGCGTGGGATTACTGCTTTTGCAACAGCTACCCAAGAAAATTTGAATGTGCGTTTGTGAACATATGTTTTGCCACTGATTCATTTAGCTCATGTTTCTTTGTCATTCTTTGTTTGACCTTCTAAAATCTTTGGTTTCAAATTCGCAGCTTCCAGGGGACAAAATATTGGGTCTGGCAAAATTTTTCCTTGGTGTTGAAATTCCTGGCAGTGCCAAAGACTTGTATCACCAAATTGATGCCTTGTCTTGCCTGGAAAACAGTAGGTAAGTAATCACATAAATTATGTCTTCTGGCCCTCTCAAGGACTTTTACTGTTTAGTCTGTTATATGTATAAATATCTCTTCACGCCATTTTTATGCATGTCTTTAAATTCACTATTTCGAAGAAATCCAAGTTTCAACACCGATTGATCTTTGCTAGTTGCTTCTGGTACTTTAGTATTTCCATTCAATCCTGCTGATACTGTACACTATTGATATGTTGAGGAGTAGGACTTGTTACTTGGATATAATCACTACTCACTTCCAGTTGTGAATTTGTTGGTGGAGGCATCAGTTTGTTATATTTTGTTCTGAAAATAATTTGGATTTTTTATTTACTGTACAGGGTATCTGTTCCTTTGATTTTATCACTTCCAGCTACCGTGCTTTCAGGTTCCCGGACAGACCAACTTAAGGTGCAGCATCTTAATCGTATTATCATGTAGTCTTGTTCCTTGCAATTCAGCATTTTTTTTATCAGCTTTCCTTTCTTCTTTTCCTGAAATTCTTGTATTCGTTTTCAGATTTTATATTTCCTTGGTGTTATGAAAATATTTGACGTATGAGAGACAGTACTCCAAAACTGAGTGCTGTTTTTCACGATCCAATGGATAATGAACTGCATATTGCAGAATAAGCATCGTAGACTGATATTGCCTTATGCATATTTTTTATTATTTAGCTAGCTGCATTGTTTGTTTTAGGTAAGGGTCAACACTGTATTGGGTTCTGCTGGCCCACCTCTATCTGTCAGGCTCATGCAGATTTTTAGCTCTGGTTCGAAGGATGCTTCTGTCATTGACCAGGTGCTCCCATTTACTCAGAGCTGTATATTATGTTTTACTGCTGTCTGCTAATAATGATTTATCTGCCACTACAAAGCGTTCTCACCTATTCATGCTCAGTACGCCTTAAGTTGTAAGGATTTTGCATTCCCTTGATGCAGGAACTCAAGTTTGACCCTGAACATGCAGTTCATGTCCTAGAAACATTGCCGAAGAATGTAGATGTTGGAAAATATATATTTTCTTTTGAGGTACATTTTTGATTGCCTGATTTTACCCTCTTTCATTTATCTGTGTCAGTCTTCCCTTTTCCTAACACAATCTGATATTCCTGGCTCCCTATTTGCAGATTTCACTTAATGATCCAGAACATAAGAAACGATACATAACTGGGGGACGAACAAAAGTACCTGTATACATAACAGGAGTCATTGAAGTTAACAATGCGGAGATTGCTGTACTTGACAGTGATATTGGGAGTATAGAAATGCAGAAAAAGTACTTTCTTTACTTCTGTTTTTCTCTTTTAGGCATATAATCATTACCGTTAATTTTGCCCCTATCTTCACTCTTTAGGCATTATTACTTCTAACTTCACTGGTATGATCGTTTTCTTCACCTCCTGCCCTTTATACTGAGTTGAGTTCTTCTCTGTTATTTTTCTTGGGCCATTGAAAGGACTCTATAAAATGAATATTGTGGAGATGAGGGATATTAAGGTGTGGATGTATCACAATACAAAAATGGATGAAATAGGACATTAGAATATAGACCAACTGGTGGAGAGGTGACATCCAGTGTGTATAAATTAAGTGAAAAATGACTTGGGTGGTGGGATCTGAAGAAGAAGCCTACAAGAGCGGTGCGATCCTAGACAATTTAGATGAGGGATGGAAAGAGGGAGAGGTAGATCAAAATTAACATGGCTTGATGTGGTTGTAAATTATTTGTTTGTATTTGATAGGTTTATAAATGTAATGGACTGAATGAAGCGGCTAAAAATGATTCATTTAGCTGACCTTCACTCAGTTTGTTGTTTCTCTATTGTGGTTCTCTACTCCCCCTCCCCTCTCTCTCCCGCCCTTATGTTTTGTTTGTAAATTATTTTGTATAGTTTTGTGGGTTGTTACATGTCTCATCATTTGATTTTACTATTATAATGTATCACCATGCTTGGTTTTGCAATTGTTTCACTGTAGTTCCTTAAATCTCAAATTTTATATTGTCTGCAGCACTGCCTTGTAACTACGTCTATCGTATATTAATTATCTGATATTGATTTTACACAGTTTTATACTTTTGGAAGTAAATTTTATCAAATTATGCAAATATAGTAATGAATTTTAAGTGGGGGAAAAATATGAATTTTCACGTGATTTGGATATTATTTGCTTATTCATGTTACTTCCATGCTTCTTGCTAGTGTTGATGTTTTTTCTCTGAAATTAGTTTGACAGCAAATTTTTTATACTCTATTTTGTAATCCAGGCTAGATTTATCTAGAGAGAATGATGTTGCTTTATCCGCAAACCATCTCCAGAAATTGCGATTATCCTTTCAATTGAGTACTCCTTTCGGAAAAGCTTTTAAGCCACACCAGGTAGGTAGTCAACCTTGTGAGCCTCTTCAAGAACACTTCATGCATTTTGGGATTGTTAAAATTTCTGTTGCAAGCAGGCATTCCTCAAGTTGAGACATGAGAGTGGAGTTGAGCATATCTTTGTGGTGGGCAACTCGGGGAAGAAGTTCGAGATAATTTTAGTAAGCGCTCTTTGCCTTTTTCCACTATGAATTTTTTCTGCTTAGATGGTCAATGGGATTTTAGAAAATCAAACAAAGTCTCAACCATAAGTTATTTAAACCTTTGCAATACATTTAAATTGTATTTGTTGTGCTTGTTTTTATTGTTTCACTATTTAGCTCAATAGTTTTGCTTGTTAAGTTGAACATTAATCATTAATGAATAATTACATGAATGGTTAGTGAATAGTTCCATATGTATTACTTGCTTCCGCTTCAATAACAATTCACTCTAACCCTTGCACAATTTCTACAAGGAACTAATTTTGAATGTTTAAATTTCACTTTTGTCTTGTAGGATTTTCTGGGACTGGTTGAGAAATTCTTCTATTTGTCGGGTAAATATGATATTCAACTTACAGTTGGCGACTCTGTCATGGTAATTGTTGTATGAAGATGAATTGCTACATTTATCCTTCTCCACCCATCGAACTACACACATGTACATGTCCATCTCACATTAATGTTTATCTATGTTTATTTTTTTCTATCTCAGGAGAACTCTTTTTTAAAACCTCTGGGCCATGTTGAATTAGATCTTCCAGATGCACCTGAGAAGGCAGCTCGTCCTCCTCCACAGCCTATTGACCTATATTCAAGATATGGGCCTAAGGCAGAAATAACTCACATTTTTAGGGCTCCTGAGAAAAGGCCTCCTAGAGAGCTTTCACTTGCTTTCTTGGGCCTTGTTCTTTTGCCATTCTTTGGTTTCCTGGCTGGGGTACCACCATATCTAAATTTCCTATTCTTGCATGTTTGAATGGTTTTCTGAATTCTCTTTTTATAGTCGTCTGCGCTTATCACTGTATTCTTCCCTGCTAGTTTATGAGATTATGGCTAATATTGTAATCTTTTCTGCCTACAGCTCTTGCTCCTACGCGTGAACCTGAAGAATTTTCCGAGGTCAACTGTTCCTGCAACATTTGCCATTCTCTTCCATTTGGGCATTGCATCTGTTCTCTTACTGTATGCATTATTCTGGTTCAAGGTTTGTATCTGGTTCTATACACATTCTTTTCCAATTTTTGTTCCATTTTGTTGCAATGGAGTTTTGCACGTTGAGGATGTAAGTAATCATTTGCAATTGAAAAAAGGTTCTGGGCTCTACGACTACGCATTCTTTGTGTTCGTGAAACCTATGTCATTTTCACGGCAGTGGTTTTATTAGCCGACTGAAATAGACTTTGTTACGACACGTTAACTGGTATATTCAATCCGATTCACTACATGTTTGTTTTCTGCATGCAGTTGGATCTATTCACAACATTGAAGGCACTTGGGTTCCTGGGAATTTTCTTGATGTTTGTCGGACACAGGACTCTATCCCATCTCGCTTCTGTATCAGCCAAGTTGAAGTCGGCTTGAGATATCTGAACGAGTGTCTAGAAAACTCGACCCAAGGATGCTTCTCCTGAAGAGCTAGGATTAGAAATCCGATTCAGCTTTGTTGTAGGACAGAGTTACTATTGGTTCAGCATTTTCGTTGCCAAAATTTTGATAGATACATGGATTTGTGGAACTGTAATACATGATCCTTTGCTGAAGGAAACCATGGACAACTTATTTATGGTACACGTTCTCATCTTTATCATGATTTGTCAACAAAATAATCTTTGATGACTACCCACAAAAAAACAGATGTAGAACTGCCACTAAATTCATATTTGTCGTTCCGTCAATATACCTGTCTATGAAGTTGCATGTCATAACCAACTGAATATCCATTACTGATTCTTGTGTCGATAATTTCCAATCGGTGAAGCCACCTTTTTTTCAGCAACAATTTCAAGATTTGCAAGTTTTAGCCCCTGTTATGTGCACGTTTTGAAGATAAGAATGCATTTTTATTGTTGATGTGATGGGGAATATGTGGTTGAAAAAGAAAGAAAAGTTATTGATGTAATGAAAAATATCATTTTATTGAAAAATGTGTGGTTGACAATGAGTAGAAGAATGAGAATGAAAATTTTAATTTGTGTCAAACAGGGGCTTAATGCAATTAAGAAAAAATAAGATATACTATCAAGCTCAACTTTGGTCCATGATTAATTGTGATGGCTCGAACCACGCTATGTCATCAAAAACTTATTGCCTCGAGAAATATTATTTAATTTCTAACTCTTAATTAACTAAAAATAAATTATACTTTGTAACTAATTAACCAGATTATCTAATTATACTAAAGTTATCTAAAAGCACATAACTAACAAGAATTCGAGTTTTAAAGTATGATTGTCGATGTTAGGACTTTCAATTTCATCTATGGATTTCCTTTAATTCGCTAATCACGATTTATAGCTATGGAATGTTCGATCGAAATCTTCTAAAGTATTCAATTTACCTCTTTGAGTTCAAACTAATCATATTCAACTAAATCAATTCACCATATCTTTATTAGAATGATCCGAATAATCCCTAATTAAATGCATTAAATCTCTAAAAATCAATGCAACAATCGTAAAAATAAAATATATATATCTGCAATTTTATCCAAATTATCTAATTTTGCTATATGATCTAAATTTATAATTTACCTCTCGATTTATTATAGATTCACAAATCATTGAATTATTGGCCAAGAAATTCAAATCATTAAATTCCATTAATAAAATCGACACACATACATTTAACTACTATAATCTTGTAAATTAAGGGGCTGTCTGGTGTGGCTTTATTTTGGATTAAAAGCAAAAATGAATCCGTTGGAAAAGGTCAAAGGGTCCCACACAAGAAAGAATTGGTCAAAAAACTCATGCTCAACGGGCAAAAAATGAGTTTTTTTTCCTGCAAAAATCTTGCCCAAACAGGGCGTAAATAAAAATGTCACACATAGATTACAGTCTTTGTCTTAATTAATGATATAGTTACTCAAACTAATGAAAAAAAATAATAATAGTAAAGGTATAGAGTTCATAACTGGGTTTTGAAATCCTAATGAAGAAAAGAACTTGATCTTACACCAAAAGTCTTCTTCAATTCTGAAAATCGTCAAACGCTAACTTTTTGCCATTTGATCATGACGTTCTGTGTATTTTTCTCTCTCGAATTGTGTGTCCCTAACGCTTAATTTTGTAACACTTAATCCAATTTCATTCAAATTTGTCCAACCCGAATTTTACCTACAATTAACATAATTTAACTTATATCAACTAAATATCCGCTTAACATAATAATAAGTAAATAAATAAATAAATAAAAATTAAATCACGAATAAGTGGCAAACAAGTTTCTTAATCCTCTCCAAAAGATGTCTCCCAAGTTATCGCAAGCAAATCTTGCAAAAATAAAATGTATGACAATCGAATTCCAAATATAAACTTCACATTAGCATTCACGCTATTCCATTTTTTGTTGCCATTATAAGTTCCTAAAACTGTTTCAACTACACATTTCTTGAAATGAATATAACATTCCAAAATTTTTCCCTTCGTTTATCCTTATTTCAAGTTCTTTAAGAAATAAAGTAATGATAAATATTTTATTTTTGTTTGATACAAAATTTAAATTTGAAGTTAACTTTAACGGGATGGGTAGCGGGACGGGGACTATGTTTCCCATACCCGCTTCATTTACCTGACTAGGTGGGTAATCCTCGTCCCATTCGAGGCAGGCTCCGTGGGTATCGGGTTAAATGAGTTTTTTTTAGCCATCCTTAATTAGAATATTATAAAGAGTGTGTTTGGCGGAGATTAAAATTGCAAAATTAATCGTTATTGTTGACTTTTATTAGACGGGTCGGACCCAATAACGGCTATATTTTCAATTTTAATTGGATTTTAAGACCATATTTATAGGATTATAAATAACTCTAAAAATGAAAGATTATGTGATAATCACACAATCAACTATTAAAAAAAAATCCCACACAATTTTAAACAATATCATGAAGATTAATCTTTATAATCTTTCCATATGTTCAACAAAGGCCATCGGTGTGCGGAAGGGGCGTGCATGACCTCTCGTAGGCTACAAAGGTTTTAGGCACCTTTGGGCTTGCCTCGTTTGCATCCTCACACGCTGCGAGGTTTCGACAATCTAAACGTCACTATTTTCAGATTACATTTTGATTCAAAATGTGTCTTTTCTCCAACATTCACGTCCATTCGTGTTTGAGGAGTTTCTATATATATGATTTTTGGTGAAAAATAATGAGAAACACCTATATATAATTATTGTGTGAATCAAAATCCTTTCAAATATGAAACCAAATTTAATCCACTTTTTATTTGTTTGGTTTAGATATAGATCAAATTTTGAGTAGATTTGATAAGAGTTGATGGAATGTGTGATTAAAAAGTTGTGGATCTCATAAAGTATATGGTTAAAATAATTTGTTGAGTATGACTTAAATTTAATCCACTTTTCTTAAAAGTGTTTTGTGTTCTAAGAGTGGTGTACTATGCTTGGTGTATAATCTCGAAAATGCTCGTTTAATCCTCGGAGCTATTTGCCGGTGATACACATAAGTAATCTCATGAATGACAGGGAAAATATGCTTTATGATAGTGCTTCGGACGTGTTCAAGCCTTCCATGTTTCTCGATTCCTTATTTCGTGTTTGTGCTTTGTTTTGATTTGTATCTTCTTCAATATTATTGTTATTTGATCTTCACTCTATTAATCGTTTTCAAACATCGACTCTTGAGTTTTTCCAACATCTAAAGCGGTATTTTGGATCCTATGGAGTTTGAATGTCGAAGCGTAAAAAAAACGATGAAAATCATTTGGTGGCTGGAAAAAGGAAGGCATCAAATAGAAGAAACTTGTTTGGTTTCTTATGTCTACTTGATTGAGCTGATGCTAAACAATTACCAGGAAATTTTATTTCATGAAGTCATTGATAAAACTTGAGAGACATGAAATCACACTTCTCGAGATAAGTTTTTATCGTCTTTCCAATTTTCTTTGATTAACTTGTGTTCCTGGTAGTAAACCAGCATTATGATTATGAGCACCGGCGGATCTAGGAAGAAAGTTCGGTGGGAGTGAAATAAAAAAATCTTGAAAAAAAATCTGAAAACCTAAAAAAATTTGGACAAAAAAACTAAAAAAATCTGAAAATTGAGTGGGGGGTAGCGGCCCCCACTGGTCCTCAAGTAGGTCCGCCACTGCGTGGTTCAGTTTGATACCAATTATTTCAAAATTTATTTCAACCACACATTCTCAAAATAAATTATTTCGTATGTAAACTTTTTTTTAACAATACATTCTTTGACAATTCACTGTTACAAAACTCATTTTAATGAAATAATAAACATCAAATAGGATATATACACATTTATCTACTCAAAATTCGGTACCCAATACATACGATCCTCAAGTATAATCCAAATACAAATTTTTTTTATCGAAATTTTAATACGTGTATAATTTTCATAAATGCGATATACTAAGCATTCTAAGAGTAACGTTTTGAATTTCTTACGATTCTTTCATCCATTATAGTTGGGGAATTTGAGCCACATTATTTTTCTCATTCTCATTCTTCTACTCATTTTCAACAACATATTCGTTAATAAAATAATATTTTACATCACATTAATAATTTTTCCTTCTTTTTCAATAATATATCTCTCATCACATCACTTCAAAAAAATACATTCTCTCATTTTAAAATGCACCAAATACACTCTTATGTATTCTACAGAATCGACGAGTCTTCATCGAAGAATAGTTACCTATACATTTTAAGCATTTTGTTAATGTCAACAGATAAACAAGCGTTCACGGATTACGATATACATAACACATATTTGGATGTTAAATGGAACTGACAATCAAAAGACAGATCGATAGACATTGGGATTGATCGAATGATTTATAAAAGTGATGTTTTTGTCTTAACCTAAACAAACATTTTTTAAACTAATTGCATCTTTAAATATTTATTACTTGTTAATTAATTAATATGTAATAACGGGCCTGCATTTTTGTCTGTTCTATTTTAATTGCAGCCTCTACCTTCAAGATCAAGCTTTTTATTCGATCATGCCCCCATGACAGCATCATGTATGTATCGTTTCGAGGGAAAAATATAAACAAATCACTTTTATTGCAATATTTTTCATGATTTTAATTCTTTTCATCACATATTTATAAAGATTTACGCGTTAGAGAGTTTGATGAGAAAATAAAAAGAGCAACTTAGCATGTGGATCTCAATTGAATAAGAGGCATATTTAGACGACAGAGTTGACTTTCAGGATCGATCGTTGTGTAATCGATAAAAGCTAGGGACTCCACCGAGCTTGATTAGCCAAGAAAGATTGGAAAAAGATGAGTGATCTGACAGACGTCTATTATTTTAGCGTGTACATATCATATAGTACACATAAGTATATACAAGAATCGTCGTAAGTTGACAAT